ACTTACCTCTTTTGAAAGTTCTGTGTGAACTGTGTAATGTTTTAATTGTACTTATAGATAATGTTGTGGGCGGTTATGTATACCCAATTAAAGATCTACTTAAAACTAATCTTTTACCATATAACCACGTTTCTGAAACGTTATCTTGTATGCTAAAAGGAATCCACTAGATAATCTGCGTTGTAAAATATTAGATCCTGTTAATATATTGATTTAACAGCTCCCACCATCCACAAGAAGCATGATTCAAACCTGAATCCTCCTACTCACGCGTAATCCATTGGAATCGTACTGATCTATGCTGCATATTCATACTAAAAATTATCCAATAAGGTTTAATTATGTTTTCAAAAAAAATATATATATAATGATCAGTGGATATGTCCGAAAAATTCATACCCAGTAAATTTGCACATCATTTTTTGTGATTTTCATATTAAAAAAAGCCTATTGAAAAAATTTATCGCTTTTGGATAAAATAGGTTTGAAGACAAAATTATTTTAAAAGAAAGCCAAGAAGCCCTACTGTATATAGTTGCAGGTTTTATTTGTGGTTTAGAAGAACCTTGATCTAAAGTTAATTGAATGGCATGTATCACGTGACTCACATAACCATCATTTTGTGTCGTTATTGGTTGGATATAATGACCGGGATGGTGCAGCCACAGCATAAAATAACCAATTGATGACAAGCATTAGCTAGATGATCTTGAAGTCATTAGTCAGCGTACAATATCAATATGATCAGTAAATTATTAGCTGCAGCCGTGGCTATGCCATCGATGAGTCATAGCAATAATGCATCATACATGCAAAATAAACACGAACAATAGTAACAATGAACGAACAATAGTAACAATGAACGAACAATAGTAACAATGAATGAACAATAGTAACAATAAATGAACAATGAATCGTTACATAACAATGAGCAATGAACTGTTAACAATAAGCAATTTGATAGTATGTAGGGTATATATAAAGTTAGAGAAAAAGAAATATTTCTCACACATGCGTATGTTCTCATTCTTGTTGAATTATCATTATAAACATTTAAAAATATAAGCGACACTTGTAATGATATGAACAATGAAATGTTACACAACAATGAACAATGAAATATTAACAATGAACCAATAAATAGTAACAATGCGAATGTAGGGTATATGTAAAGTCAGAGAAAAAAAAATTTCTCACATATATATGTTCTTTTCAGCCAATAAATTCATACCTGTTGGATTATGAACTTTTTTAAATATAAGTGACATTTGTAAAATAATTTTACCAACACTTTGAATACACTGTTCCTAGTAACTTGCACTACATTATATCACTTTTTTTTTCAAGCTATTGGGTCTTTAATTATGAGTTGTATTTTGATGAACTATACTTTTTAAAATATTATGAATGACAAATCGTTTGATTATGGAGAATGTCTTGAGAATTATGACCCTGATATTGACTATGAGATATTGGACCACAATGAAAGCTACCTTGAAAATACATCTGAAATTTCATCTACTCCAAAGACCACAACAGATGAAAGTGTAATGACTGATCATGAGTATGCTAGTAAAGACTTCACATTTGATGAAAGGGCACTAAATCATGCAAAAAATTTTGTAATATCAACTACTGAACATTTAGAGCAAGACGAAAGTGATATTAACTGGTTAATACCAGATGATAATTTGCAATCAGAAGTTGAGTCCATGTGAACTCTACCAACAGATAATATTAATGCTATCGATTATGAAATAGAGGATGATTCAGATACTAACACTAATAATCTAGAAAAAGATAAACAATATGTTGTTGTTGATTATCAGGAGAGACGTTTTCAACATTGTTTGAATAATATACATAGACAAATTAAACAGCTCATAGGTACTTGGGAACTAGACTTTTAGACATTAGATATAGCAATTAAGGTGAAGACAAACAATGCATTAAATAACTTAGGTTTGTTCTCACTATTTCTATTTTAATCAAAATAAACTTTATTTGTCTGGCTCAAAATATCAAGTTTCGATTGATAAAAGTTAGATCCATAAGCGAAAATGTATGTTTTGTAATACTAATAGATTTTTTTTAGTCAAGGAGGGTGTTGTACATAACATTTATAGTAAGTATTTAGACGAAATATTTGTATATCTTGTGCTGGGTTAAAAGTTTGTACAGTATTTGTTAAAAGAAATAATAAGTTTATGAAGTTATTCACAAGTCAAATCAGTCAAAGTTCATTTGCTCTCATTGTTTTGATAATGAAGGTGGGTATTTTGTTCAACAAAGAAAAAAAGGCTTTGCACAATTTTCCTGTGCCAAAAAGCATGTGGATAAAAATCAAATTTCTCTTCAACTTCTTGAACAACGGAATCAGAAGATGGCAATAGATAAGGATCAGCAATTAAAAGCTATGCTTTTAGAAGAAATCTGGTCAGCTATTGTAAGATTTTTTAAATAAAAAAACAGATATTACTAAGAAATCAAATAACAATATAGAAATTATGCAAATCACCTGCTGACATACTTTGGAGTTAGAGCTGCCCTTCATATAAAAAAAGTTAATTTACGTTGTTTAGAAAAGAAAAACCATTATGCTGATCTCATAACTAATTAGTCAGAAGAACTAGGAGAAGCTTTATAATCCATCATTTGGAGATTAAGATCAGAGGTGTGTGCACAGAGAAAAACACTTGAAATATCAAATAATTTACAAGAGTTTCACAATGCATTTTCTAGGTCTATAAAAGAATTATTTAATCAATTTATTATTTTTATTTTACAAAAAAAGTGGAAAGTAGAGCAGAAAAAATGTATACAATGTAGATTTATTCCTGCAGAATTTGATAGTTCAAGAGCCATAAAAATTTTAATATTTATAATATTATTAGTTTTTCAATAGCATTTTTGGATATCAATATTTGGTTTATGTATATAATAAATTCTCTTTGCAGAAAACCAAAACTATTAAGTTCACTTAATACGATTTTATGTACTGCAAATATGGTTTTCCATATGAACCATTATGAAAAGACGTTAAACAAACAAAGAATTAATAACATTGATATGTCAAAAAAATTATTACAAGGTGAAAATATTTAGAACTTATGCATAATAGATAATCTTGACATGAAGAAAAGTACTATATTTGATATTACAATGTGTATGGCACATGTCACACTTTGGATAGTTTTCCAGTTTAAACTACTACAACTATTATCTAGTATTGCTGAATAATATATTTATTTGATGAATATGAGTTTTGGGTTGGGATGTCAGACTTTACAATAGACAAACTTCAGAAATTTGAAAACATTTTTAGTACTCTTTTTGATTTTGGTAAAAGTTTTGATATGCTTATATTATAGCAAGAAATCAAAAAAAATATTAAACTAGGATATCAGGTAGATCTACCAAATATCGTTATTCTAGAACCTGAAGAAAACCCATATTGTGACGAACATGTTCATAATGCAGCAAAAATATATTATCATGATGTTGGACTTGATAGTAATGGAAGTTTTTATTTAGCATCTGATGAGGCCATCTTTTGACAACTTGTAAAGTTGTATGTAACTCAGCCAGAAATATCTTTGTTACTAGGCAGATAGCATATATCAAAAATTATGTATGCTACACTGCTTCATATCTTTTTTGGTTATGGGATTTTTAAATTAGCAGCTAATTTAGAAGTAACTTATTTAAATAAACTTGAGAAGGTAGTTGACTATATAGCTACATGCCATGTTCTAGAGTTATTGTGAATTGCGGTGGGTAATGCTCTTTGTCAATATATAAAAAACTGTTTTATACAAATAAAAGATATTTAAAATAGTAATAATAAGGTAGTTATAGTTTGGCACTTGTTTTTTTGTTAGATGAGTTTATAGTTAGGTCATAGGCTTGGAATTTATCATAGAAATTATGAAATGCAAATAGAAAATCTTATTTTATTCTCTCCTCTCTTTCTAGTCATAAGACACAGTAATTATACCTAATCTGTTATATATTTCTTATCATATATTGAAAAAATCCTATTTTACAACAAATACTTAGACATGTTTGTTCTGTAAACTTAACATGTCCAGGTCATTATTTTGTCTTTGATGAGGCTCTTAAAAGGTTTGGCGTTAAGTTCATAAAACAAAATATTGAATCTGTAATTAAATTAAATAATGATCTGAAATCCTGAATTATTTCATTACAATTTGAGCAAGAACACTTAAATTTGCTTTTAAGTGAATATATTGGTGAGAATTTATTAATTTTAACAGATAGGCCTCCAAAATCTTGTGAAGAAGCTATTCGAAATCTAGCAAATCAACTTGTAGAAGTGTTTAGTCTCCAAGATTCTACACAGCATTAACTTTTTAAAGAAATATCTCAAAATACTAATAAAGGGTTTCAACATTTTTTTGAATGTTATGATATAAGAATAGATCAATTAAAAAATATTTACAAGCAAGATATTGAAAAATCAATATCATAAGATATATTAGGCAAGCATGCTCAAAATATTATTGTTGAATCTTGTACTCAAAACAAAATCACAAGAAAGGAAAAAATAACATATTTTACAAGTAGTCATATTATATAAGTTTGGGGTTGCTCACAATATATTTTTATTTTTTAAAAAATCATGTATTGTATATTGTTATATATTATATACTTTTTTTTAAAAAAAATAAAGATTTAACATTAGAAGTTTAAATACTTTCTTGATATCCAATATTTTGGTTTAAATTTTTGCTCTTGCTGCAAAATTAGAAATAGTCAATATAATTAGATTCTACTTAGCATATTTATCAAAAGTTGTAGTCTATATCTTTTTTACAAAGACAAAATATCTTGGTAGTGAAAGCTTCATGTGACTATACAGACAAATCCAAGTATATGTCGAGTAAATTAATTAACATTTCAAATAAAAACATCATTGAAAAAATTCATAAAGACAATAATGATCTTTCTGAATTTTATTTTTAATTACCATAAAAATTTTAGATAACAAAAAATGTGATACTAAAGAATATATATCTAGAGTTTTAAAATAGATTATAACTTTATATAAAATTCAAATGAATTTTTTTATTGATTTGCATATAAAAATTTGATGTGACAAGTTATTTGACTATTAATGATTAACAGTGTGTATAAGATTTTCTTTGACCGATAATAAAAATAAATAAATAAAAAAATAAATACATTCATGTTATTTTGAGTATAAAAGATTACAAGAAATTAGATATAGCTTAGTATTGGTAATAAAACGAATTTGAATCAAATTTTTATTTATCTAACCTTGTTTTTAAAGATCACAAGTTCAATATCAAGCTGATGATATATTATATTAATTGCAATTCACACTTTCTGTATTTAAATTGAAGAAATTAGGAATAGTGAAAAAATCTCATCCTTTTTAACTTTAATTCTAGTTGCTAATTGCTAGTGCTATCCATTTCTGTTAATTATGAATATCTATAAACAATAATTATGACAAATAACAACTATAATAAAGATGAAAAATGATAACTACAGTATAATGAAGATGAAAAACTGATTAATATCATAAAAAAAAAATAAATAAAAAAAAAAAAAATAATAATATATATATATATATAAACAAAAAAAACTTATCTTTATTTTATCTAATAAAGCTTCTAAAATATGTATTAGTCATTAAATAAATTTATTCAATGTTCAAGTCATACCACATGAAGGTTCGTATTTTCATGACTTATAAAAAAAAGTTGATCAAGTAAAAATCTTTAATAAGAAAAGTAAATAACTAATTTCTATTCTTGTTAAAGTGCAATAGCAAGGTCCTTGCAAAATCAGTAGATCTTATCAAAAGAAATTTTTTAAAATATTTCTTAAATAAATGGTTCTGTTTATCACCAATATACAGTATGTATATCTTAAACAATTTTGGATCAAACCTACTACAGTAACCCAAGAGTATAAATAAAATACTTTATCTTGATCAAAAAAAAATAAAAAAAATGTATAAGAGAAAGAATGTTCACTATCAAAACAGTGGTCATGATGTACTTTTAATTCTTTTTACACAAAAGTATGAAAAAAAATAAAATAAAAGCAACTAAATAAACAAATTATTATATCTATCACGTCAAGATCAGGTGTAATATAAAAATTATTAGCTAATTTTTATAGATTTATCTGTGACTACTCATAAATATGCAAAAGAATTAATTTATTTCAAATACTGTATATAGAAGATAGATCGATATATGTAAAATGAAGTAAAAGTGGTATTCATTATTAATAAACTCCTACTTATTAACTGTTAATACAATCTACATCCTGCAAACCAAAACTTATTATGGCTAACTGACTAAAACAACTGGCAAAAACCAAGTATATTCAAGTACTGTATTAAACCTGAAACTTTTTTTACAATAAACTTAGCCTTGTTCAAATTCAATAGTTAGTAATAAAAGTTTTTTTTTGAAATCTAATATAATAAGGCAGTCCTGAAAACATAGCAATTTTTCTTAATTTATTATAGAAAGAATTAACTGTAATTATTTTTATTACATTTTCTTGGCTCTTGTCTTTTGTATTAACTTCCATTAACATATTCTTTATTTAGATGCTTAAAGCATCTTTGACACCATTGCATTATTCTCTGATATAGATTAATATAATTCATAGCATCAAAAATATTCATAAGCATATGCCCGAATTAATAAAAATTATTCTTAATAATTTAGAAAATAAATTTTATTCCTTATACTCATGCAGGCTTGTAAGTTGATATTGGTACAAAATGTCTATTCCTATTCTTTGAAAAAATCTATCTTCATTTAATTAACAGTCTTTAGTTATTTCTAATCTCTTAATGATAACGAAATTTTATTTTAAAA